GTCGGTTTTAATGCTCTTTTTCACTTGCTTGTTTGCTTCTGCGTACTGTGTTTTTGCCTTGACTTTTTCTGCTCGTGTTTGACTGTTGTTAATTACTGTTTTCTTGTCCTTCCTTTCTTTAATCTTGTCTAGGGTTTATGTAGAGATCCATTACTTATGATGATGTTTCTTGCGACCCAGAACCTCCTGACACGTTGTAGTGCTTGTTTAATCCGTTTCCAGTTATCATCCACCATAGTTTCTTCTGGTTTGAGTAGATCTTGTAAGGCTTGGAACCTGTTGTTGAGAGTTATCTTGAATTCGTTGAGTTTGTTAGCATCTCGAAGGAAGGCTGTAATGCTGTCCCCCCAGTTGTTCAATGCCTCTTTAGCTTCAGTTTCATCTTGGCCATAACCAGGTGGTGATCTCATGCTATGTCAAGTTCTCTCCTGGTTCTCACATTGTCCTTCGAAATATTTGTTGATGCAAATATGATCTATCTGGTTCTCTGTGGTGTGGTCCGGTGAGATCCATGCCCAACCCTCCTCCTTTACCCGGGCTTGGGAGCGTCAGTAACTGTAGAAGAGCTACAGGCGGATTGCTGTGATAAAATTTCCATCTGATCTATTTAAGTCTAAACTAGAATCATATTTTGTATTTCTTATATTCAATCATTATGTTTAGGAAATGCTTTAGCTGTAATAGTAAATAACTATTTATCTCTTCAATATTTCTGTATGATTTTCGCGACTGAATTAAAACCAAAGTGGTTTAGGTTACAAACCACACTGCTCTACTAGCTGCGTTACGCATTTCAGCTGCAAAGCCATTGTCGATTTCATTGCACCTACTGATAAGAATTATAATTTTGAGAAAAAAATAGTTGAAACACGGGTTTTTAGATTATTAAGTCCCAATGATATGTTTTATTTATTTATTTAAACACATAACTATTGGTACAAAGGGGCACCAGATACATATGCGCCACACAAATCAAATGAGATTTGTGTGAGGGCTGTGATATTGCCCAGGTGCCCAAACTGAAGCAGGTTTTTTTTTTAAGTGACCACACCCGGAGCCTTTGACCTAAAATCTGATCCACAGGCAGTGGAGCATCGTGAGGAGATGCAGTTCCATGGTAGTCGGTGACAAACGATTGATTCATACGCCATTTGTTCTTTCAGGATACTGGAGTCCATGCGGAGCATTGGTTCGGAATCAGGGTTTTCCAACTCCCCTAGGTAGACTCACCGTGTCCACCAACCCGGGTAAAGCACCGGACATTCGCTTTTCATCCCCTCACTTTCATGAACAACACCCCACCCCTCCACAAGAAGGCAGGGAGTAGGACTTCCCTGGTAGAGGCTATATTACGCATAGCCATGTGAGAGTATTTGGAGAGGGAGAGCGGACTCTCCTTTCTCTCGGCCGTGCCAGGGCATTTGGGGGCAATGACATATTACTTGTTCTCCTATAACTACTATGTCGTTTGAATTGTTTATCGACATAATCCAGTCAGTCTATATTATATAGAAGATTACATATTCCATTAGGAATTTGCTTGAAAAGTGGTTGTTGTACTATAAAAACGTCAGGTTGGTGCCAGGAATTTAAGGGGTATCTGTAGCAAACTAGACTTTACGAAGTATGACTTAAGCGACACTTATCTAAGTTTTTAATAATTTGCTTTACATTTGATAGCAAGCTAAATACTGAATGAAGTTAACAGCACACTTCATGCCGAATAATTGATTCCTCTCTTTCATGAACCTATCGTACCAAACGGAATTAATCATGGAAGCTTGTCATAAACAATATGCTGAACTTTACAACTATCTTAAATATAAATAAAATGACTCTTCAGTAATTGCTTAGTTATAATTGATGTATGAAAAACATTTTTAGTATTTAGGTTACCTTCTCTTGCAATTACACTTAACTTTTTTATTTATTTAACCATAAGTTACATTCATTTTCAACCAAAATAGTAATCAGCTGATCTTGTGTAGTTATAAATTTTCATGTTTGATTGTACAAATTGTTAAGATGTATCATCATATGATATAATGACGGAAATTGTGTGTTTATTTTTATTATTACTTGAATTGAGTATATAGATCTCCATCAAAGATTAATAATAATGAAGAAGAATAATTACTACTGGAAAAATTACTCTTGCTTCAATGCTTATTCGGACAAATTATATTTACAATCATATAACATTTGTTTTCATTTCTTTTATGCTAGTTCGATTATGTACTCCTCTTTATTCTCATTTTCCGTATCTTATTTTTCGACTTGCACCCAAATGCCCTGGCACGGCCGAGAGAAAGGAGAGTCCGCTCTCCCTCTCCAAATACTCTCACATGGCTATGCGTAATATAGCCTCTACCAGGGAAGTCCTACTCCCCGCCTTCTTGTGGAGGGGTGGGGTGTTGTTCATGAAAGTGAGGGGATGAAAAGCGAATGTCCGGTGCTTTACCCGGGTTGGTGGACACGGTGAGTCTACCTAGGGGAGTTGGAAAACCCTGATTCCGAACCAATGGTGCACATAGGCCTTAGGATCCTAAGAAAACAAAAATGGCATATGAACCAATCGTTGGTAACCGACTACCATGAAACTGCATCTCTTCACGATGCTCCACTGCCTTGTGAATCAGACCTTAAGGTCAAAGTCTCCGTTTGTGGTCCCCTAAGAAAACCTTCTGCTTCAGTTTGAGCACCTTGGCAGTATCACAGCCCTCACACAAATCTCATTTGATTTGTGTGGCGCATATGTATCTGGTACCCATTTGTACCAATAGTTATGTGTTTAAATAAAAATAAATACATTTTTCGACTTATACAGCAGCTCTTCCATTATTGAAACCCTGTCCCATCTAAACGATCTCAAGTCATCGACTGGTTGAAACTTTAATGAAACAGTCTTTCCGAAGCCACGTATACGATTCAAATTGACCTCCAACGTTCGCACACTGATGTAGATCGGACAACAGATAAGGTTGGCTATATCTTTAGAAAGTCTTAATATTGATGTATGTTGTATATTCGAGACCCGTATTCAAAACCCTAGTGAAGTACAATAAATTCACTCTCCATCTGTCACTTCGGAAAGCTTGTTTCATGTGTGTTTATCCGGGAACCCTGTGGCATCTTCATCTGGTTTTGCTGGTGTTGGTGTCGCACTAAACGCTAGAGCTGATCGAATCTACAACGCATTGGCAAGAGCAGTCTTGCTCTATCCTTGTGAAACCTGACCTTTCTGAGTTGGGGATGTTAGACGACTCTCTGTATTTGATCATCGTTATCTCCGACAGATTGCTCACCATCCAGTGGCAACACCATGTTAGTAATGCAGATGTTCGGCATTGTGTGTTCGGGCACGTCGACGATAATTTAACTAGTGTCACTATGTTGAAACATTGACTTCGGTGGCTTGTACATGTTCTACAAACGTCGTCCCAGAGAATTTCACGTGGTACATTATTTACCGACTCTGGGACTGGTTAAAAAAGCGGAGAGGTGGTCAGTGCAAGGCATGATGTCGTAGGGTGAAAGAAAGTTGTACAGGACTGGCTTCTGTTGATATTTCACGACTCCTTGATTGGGGTTCAAGAGATGGTGCAACACAATGGCTTGAGACGTTATCAGATTCAGACATGACTCAGAATAGAAGCCAAGCCAGTGGCGATCCTACTGTAACTGTGTTTTGCTTTCTTCATAAAAAATGAACGTAATTTCTTTAACTTGAAGAACTCTCTCTGACTGTTATTTTGCTAATTGAACTCTCTCTCTTCCGTTATTAATATTTACTCTCATACACTGATTTCTGTTCGTTGTTGTTCTCTTTTTTCTTATATACACCTTACATTCTCTATCTCTTCACAGCCTTATTGTTATTGTGTGGCGCATATGTATTTGATTCCCCTTTGTACTGATGTTTATGTGTTCAAAAAAATGATTACTAAAATTATTGGCAATATTTCTCTTTATTGTCTGTAATAATCTGGAAAGTAATAATAATAATCCAACTATTATTATTATTATCTAAACACATAAATATTGGTATAGACGGGTACCAGATACATATGGGCCACACAAACCTCATTTGATTTATGTGAGGGCTTTGATACTACCCAGCTGCCCAAACTGAAGCAGGTGGTTTTCTTAGAAGGCCACTCACGGAGCCTTTGACCTAAAGATCTGATTCACAAGGCAGTAAAGCATCGTGAGGAGATGCAGTCCCATGGTAGCCGACGACCAACAATAAGTTCATACGCCATTTGTTCCCTCAGGATACTGGAGTCCATGCGGAGCATTGGTTTGGAATCAGGGTTTCCCAACTCCCCTAGGTAGACTCACCGTGTTCATCAACCCGGTTAAAGCGCTGGACATTCGCTTTTCTTCCTCTCAATTTCTTAAGCAACACCCCACCCCTCTACAAGAAGGCAGTGAGTAAGACTTCCCTGGTAGAGGCTATATACGCGTGGTCATGTGACAGCATTTCGAGAGTGAGTGAGAGAGAGTTGATTCTCACTACTCTCGGCCGTACCAGGGCATTTGGAGGCCGACGCATAATCAATGTACAAGCTTATGTACTTAATATTAGTCTACGTACTATTTATACGTAAGCTAACCGCCTTATTGCTATTCGAGTGCTTAACTCAATAGTTGGATATCATAATGTGTTCTGACCACTAAATTAATCATGAAACGATACAGCAAACTATAATCACTTATTAGTTGTATAACAATCTACTTAAACTACCGTTTTTGTTTAAAATATTTTTTAAAAAAAAAACAACTCAGATGGGAACACGTTTGATAAGAGTTATGAGATTAAGAGGTCCCGTGTGTACTTTTAAAGTGTTTCATATTAAAATCGTGTGCTCACTGCTCTTTTTTATAATATAAACAATTGGTAGCAATTATTCACTGATGGTTTTGTTCTTTGATTGAATGAAATATCAACGTTTTTGAACAATATAGTCTTCTTCTTCTTCTTCTTCTTGGTAATCTAGCTTACAACAAACGCCGATCTCATGGCTAGTCGTCAATGGAAATATTATATTGAGACAAATGAATGGACACGTGCTACATGTGCATTAATGGCATGTTTATTTACTAGAGATCAAATGGCTAATTCAACTGTTTTAGGTCGTGGCGGTTCACAACGTGCTCGTCTTCCAAGTAATTTAGTTGCCTATGTTGTCAGTAAGTTTTTGTCTTTTTATTTTTTGTTGTTGTTCATTTTTGTAATTGGTTGACTTTTTAGTGACCCTATAACTGACTTCAGTTAGATTGTACGATTATTTTTTTATTGAAATATACATTCCGGCTACCATCGTACATAATTACTGACTTAATTCACGTTAGGAAATAACAGAATAAAGCAAGTTAAATACGAGGATAAACTTTAAATTCGTATATTTCGCACACTCATTTATCCGGACAAACAATCGGAGAAGCGAAGTGAACAAAGCGAAGCGGAGGATGTCTTTGAGAAATGGAAAACAAAGCGATGCGCAGCGGAGAAGGCGAGTGAGTCAACCCAATTTGACTAAGAGTAACTCAATATTTATAACCAGACCAAAAATAAGTTACAGACATGTAATCAATAGGGTAAGCAATTAACAGACATGCGATCATATAACAATAGTCAGGTTTAATAAGTAAATAAATGACAAGGTCAAAATGTGGCTTGAGAAGAATGAATATATTGGTCTATTCAGATGCTAGAATACCCTTTGTTGGCTTGATATAGTGTACCACCCTCTACAACTTAGTTAATATTAAGATCATCAGTTGATAAAACCTTTAGGCACTAGACAACTGTTTCGTCTTATTATGTGGCTCCTCCAATGTTACACACTTACAACTTTTATGTAAACTGGAACCAATGTAAATTTTAAAAGTAGTCTATCTGTCGTCAAGAAAAAACGTTATACGGTAACTTATTCAATAATAAATTCTTAACTACGTTAACTTAGATAATGTGAACTATAGTTCCTGACTCATCCTAAGTTTTTACTTGATACTAGTCGGAACTTGCCAGCCAAATCCAATCTTCGATAAACCGGTTTAAGAACATCTCTGTCGCAATCGACTTTGTCTGACACAAAAGTGTTTTCAATCACGTTACAATACCACGTTAGTGTGACGGCGGGATAAAAATGATTAAGATAAATAGTGAATGCATTTGTACAGTCGTGACAGGTTCTAAGCCATGTCATCCAGTATCTCCAACTACTGACTTTAGTCATCAAGCTGATCTCAACCAGTTAGTTTGGACGTACTCACATGAGTCAGCTCACTAGTCAATTACCTCATAAATTGATGTCACGTATTGTTTTGGTCGCACTTAAGTTTCTTTCAATTTTCTCTTACATAAGCTATAATCATCTGTCCAAGTAGACAGTGGTTAGACATACTTGGCGTATTTCCTGACCACCATAGTCAATTCTCTTTGTTTTAGGGCATTTATAAACGACTAGTGTTATAGTCAAAAAAAATTACCGATGATCTTGAGATGGTGGAAAAGGTTTGTAGCTCAGGTGGGTGATTTTAATGTAAGTTTGTTCTCTGAGCTGGATGGTTTGGTCGTGGAGCTTTCATTGTCCTTCTGAACGACATCATCAGCACAAACACTTCACTTCTACTCAAAGTTTGTGCTGATGATGTTGTTCAGAAGGACAATGAAAGCTCCATGACCAAAGCATCCAGCTCAGAGAACAAACCTACATCAAAATTACCGATGATCTATTAGATCACTTCCTATTCTTGAATACTTATGTACTCGTTACATATATTTCATCTATAATTCCTGAATATCTACAATATTATACTGTATATTTTTACCTATCCAAATATAAAGAATTCAATCATCTGGAAGTAATTAGTGTACATTTAAAGTATCTTATTAATAAATAAAATCTAGTTTTAATGTCTCATTCTTATTGATTATTACCTTTAAACATTAATTATATAAATAATTATGCATATTAATAAATAGATACATTTCTATTTAATTGACTAATTGATGTCTATTAAGGAAGTATAAATAATTAATGTAATTAAATGATCTTATTATTTGATTTCTAAATATTCTTAATTGAATGTGTGATCATACCACTATAACAAAGTACTTATGTATGCGTGTTACCCCTCGTGAAGGAGCATAGATCGCCTACCAACACTCTCCATCCAACCTTTCTCTGGACAATCCTTTTCATATCTGCCTCCAATTCCCGACGTAGTGTGTTTTTCGACCTTCCTCTTTTCCCGTTTCCCTTCAGGACTCCAAGTTAGTACTTTCCTCGTGATGCAGTTTGATGATTTCCATAATGTACGCTTGAATTGTTTTACCACTGAAGTTCTAGTTGACTTTGTGATGTTATTTACATACAGATTTTATTGAATTTGAAGCTGCTTATCTCTATTCACCACGATAGGTACATGCTCCTGGCTAATAAAAGATGCCCATTTTGTTGTTTATTTGATAATGTGAAACAGTAGTTTAATGACTAAACCATACTTTCAATCATTGTAAGCAAAGATAGATAGTGGCTAGTAGTAGAATCCAGGACGCGCGTTTCGTCCTATTTGGGATTCGTCAGTTGGATGTACCTGTATCTCAGAGTTGATATTCACTCTGGGACTCGAACCCAGTACCTTTCGCTTCAAACGCCATCGCGTTATCCACTCGGCCACTGAGTCCTGATAGCCATACTTTCAATCATTAAATTTTAAGTTTGAATCCTACTCCATTTATTTCAATTTACATAACTGGGTAATGTAACTACTCTTATTGCATAAAAACTTTGCGACTCAAAATCAACTGTATAATTATTATCCTGTTTTATGTGTTCAACTTTTACACATTATCATATTACTCTCATTGGGACTAGTCCTATATCTGCCGTAATATAATTTTGGCAATCAGTTAATATTTTGTTAATTTTTATAATAACATGCATAAACATGTCTATATTATTATTATGATGATAATGATCATTTATTATTTTGTTCTTTTTCCAAGTTTATTTATTTAAACACATAAATATTGGTACAAGGAAGCACCAGATAAATATGCGCCCCACAAATCTCATTCGATTTGTGTGAGGGCTGTGATACTGCCCAGGTGCCCAAACCGAAGCAGGTGGTTTTCTTAGGGGGCCACACCCGGAGCTTTTGACCTAAAGATATGATCCACAAGACAGTGGAGTATCGTGAGGAGATGCAGTCCCATGGTAGCCGGTGACCAACAGCAGGTTCATACGCCATTCGTCCCATAAGGATCCTGGAACCCATGTGTACCATTGATTTGGAATCAGGCTTTTCCAACTCGCCTAGGTGAACTTTCTGTGTCCACCAACCCGGTTAAAGCGCTGGACATTCACTTTTCGTCCTCTCAATTTCGTAAACAACACCTTACCCCTCCACGAGGAGACGGTGAGTAGAACTTCCCTGTCAGAGGCTATATACGCGTGGTCATGTGAGAGCATTTGGAGAGAGAGAGAGCGGACTCTCCCCACTCTCGGCCGTACTAGGGCATTTGGAGACCTTTTTTGAAGTACAAATAAGTATATATTACCATCACTATTCTCTTCTATTGTTCATTATGTTTTATACTTCTTTCTGGATTAGGGATAATATGGTGTTACTTCTAATAAAATGAGCTAACATTGTAGAATTTTAATCGGATTCTTATCTTCATTGTTCTTTTGTGTTAGTTCACTTTCTTGTGTATACATTTCAACAAAAAATTTTCTATCAGTTATGAAAGCATTTTAAACCCAATCAATTAAAGTGTTTGCCTTAAAACGACTGATTTGTAAGTATCAGTTTATTTTCATAGTTGAAATCATGAGTCAATTGAAGCTAGACCATCATGGAAAACCCGGAATTACTGGATGGCCGTTTCATCCTACTGTGGGTAAACGGTTGCTCAAACTTTTTGGATCGGTTGAAGTTAGACATTAACACCATTGAATGCCGGTTAAGTGCTCTGGCGCGAGACTGGTAGGCCCTGGGTTCGAATCCCGCGAGGTGGGATCGTGGATGCGCACTGCTGAGGAGTCCCACAGTAGGACGAAACGACCGTCAAGTGCTTCCAGATTTTCCATGGTGGTCTAGCTTCAATTGACTCATGATTTCAACTATGAAAATACTAAAATCTCCAGAAAACCCCTTCTCATTATCATTTTACCCTTGAATTGTGGTTTGTATCTTTGTAGTGAACATATCGGTCGTAAATTAATGTTAACTTCGTGAATAACTTACTTATATCCAAGGAGTGATCATTTTTAGTGATTTTTTTCATTGAAAGTGGATTAAATAAATCGAATTGAGCATATTAGTTAAGGCTTTTACTTACTTCGCCTGTTACCCCTCATCAAGGAGCATAGGCCGCTCACCAACATACTCCATCCAACTCTATCCTGGGCCTTCCTTTCTAGTTAAGGCTTTTAGCCAACACTTATTATTTTTGAATAACTGTTGATATATTATTTTCTTTGTACACCTTTCAGTCTATAATCCATATTATGTAAATCTAGGACTGATTAACACAAAATATCATGCAGTAATATATCAGTCTAATTCATTGAATACAATAAATTTCATCGGATAATAGACTCCAAATAGTTTACCTTAGTTGTAGTGGTAGAATTCAATGAGATGCATTCATAGGGATTTTCCTGTGGGAATGAATTAAGATTGATAACAAAGTTGTAATGATTATTTTTGTCGACCAATGGGTTATATATCCAAATCGGTATGCTCAAAATTACGGAATCAGTAAAGCTGATTAATTCGGTTTGATAGATGATGAGAAAATTAAGACACTTGAATAAAAATTGTGAAAGACAAAGTTTTTTAACTCCTCACAATTTCTTGCAAATTTTACAATTACTTAGTCAATAATAGTTCGTTACTGTGTGGATTCAAATGTATTCACAGATTGATAGTAAACGTAAAACATTCCAAATTTTCGTCAAGGAATTAACGTAGACTTCCCTTTTTCCTTCATTTCCTTTTAACTTCGAGTTAACCTAGGCGGCAAATCGTAAATAACAGTTTAATATAAAATATAAATAGTGTTTATAAATACATTCGAAATATTCTTGGATTTTACTTACACCTGTTACTCCCAGTGGAACATAGGTTGCCTGGAGCTCCTCTTGAACTACTGCCGGTCCCAAACCCGGATAAAA